AAAGAACTCAAAAATATAAATGATAAACTTAAACAAGAAATTATCTCTTTTGGAAAAAGGCCACAAGAACCTTCAACTACTTCTTCTTCTACATGCTCTAGTTGTACATCACTAAAAGCTAAGGTTGCTAGTTTAGAGAGCAAATTGGGAAAGTTTAATAATGCTTCAAACACCTTAGATAAAATACTTAAGCAAAAAGTTAGTAATGGTGAAGGACTTGGATATAAGAAAAACCAACCTAGAAAAACAACATTTGTTAAAGCTAGGGGGAATAAAAATGCTAGGATAAATAATCAAACTAGAAGAGCACATCCTAGCAAACCTAGAACTCATTACACTCAACCATATAGGATGAATAATCCTAATGTTATTTGCCATTATTGTAATAAGGTAGGTCACATTGCACCCGTGTGCTTCACCAAAATTAGGCATTTTCAACAAACGCACACACATCGCACATATGCTAACCAAAAAGGACCCAACAATACATGGGTACCTAAACCGTCTCCTTGATATCTTTTTGTAGGTGTGCTTGAAGGCTTCGAGTACCTCTTGGTATCTCGGTAGCGGATGCTCCAAGCACATGACCGGAGACGCATCCAAATTTAGGAGCTTAGAGTATTTCAAAGGTGGCAATGTCATTTTTGGTGACAACAACAAGGGAAGAATCATTGGAAGTGGCACCGTCGGGAGAGACAATGCTACAACCGTTGAGAACGTTCTTCTTGTTGAGGGCCTCAAGCACAATCTTCTTAGCATTAGCCAATTGTGCGATAGAGGTAACCGTGTCATCTTTGATTCTAGTAAATGCATTGTAGAACACTTGTGTGACAATAAGACTATTCTTTGTGGTAGTAGAGTAGATAACATTTACATGTTTGATCTTGAAAATTCCCCGTCTATCTTAGCTAAGTGCCTCATTACCAAAGAGGAAGAAACGTGGCTATGGCATCGTCGGATAGCTCACGTTAATATGAACCATCTTAATAAGTTGGTTTCTAAAGACTTAGTAATTGGTATTCCTAAACTTAAGTTTGAGAAGAATCTAATTTGTGATGCATGTCAAAAGGGGAAGCAAGTAAGGGCCTCGTTTAAGTCAAAGAACGTTGTTTCTACGACTAGGCCGTTACAACTTTTGCACATGGACCTCTTTGGACCTTCAAGGACTATGAGTTTAGGAGGTAATTACTTTGGCTTTGTTATCGTTGATGACTATTCGAGGTTTACATGGACACTCTTTCTAGCTCATAAGTATGATGCACTTAATGCTTTTAAGAAATTCATTAAATTAGTTCAAAATGAAAAAGACTCTCACATTGCATCCATTAGAAGTGATCATGGGGGAGAATTTGATCAAGACGGCTTTGATGTCGTTTGTGACGAATTAGGCATTGAGCATAATTTTTCAGCCCCCGTACACCACAACAAAATGGCGTGGTTGAACGGAAAAATAGGTCTCTTGAAGAGATGGCTAGAACTATGCTCAATGAGGCAAACCTTCCTAAATATTTTTGGGCGGATGCCGTGAGTACCGCGTGCTACGTGTTAAACCGAGCCGTCATTAGACCGATACTCAAGAAAACGCCCTATGAACTTTACAAAGGAAGAAAGCCTAACCTTTCCTATTTTCATGTCTTTGGATGTAAAGTTTTTATTCATAATAATGGAAAAGATAACTTGGGAAAATTTGATGCTAAGTCGGATGAAGGAATTTTCTTAGGTTATTCTCTTCGTAGTAAGGCATATAGAGTGTTCAACAAGCGTACTAAGAC